ACAATTTTTGCTCAATTGACACCAAACTTGCTACAGAGCATCTTCAGACTCTCCTACAAAAACTATGTTTCTCAGATTTTTGATTTATCAAAAATTGAGCCTACAGTGCATCAAAATGTTTGACTGTAAACGGTACTGTAAACATATACATGCAAATTCTTGCTAAATAAATCTTCAATGTTCATGGAAAAAAATGACAAAATTCTTGAGTAATGGTAGATGATGTGTGGCAAATTTCAGAATTCTATCTCAAAAACTGAATTTCTCACAGCATTTTGAATTTTGCTCTAATGTGAACAATTGGAGTCAATGTAAAAATGGTAATTTTGAACATCAGTTTTTCACTTATGGAGCAAATCAATCATTGTTACAAATTACCAACATCTCCATGCTGTCTAGATGCAATATGTGTATTTTCAGATTTTTGTCTTAATAACTGAATTTTTTACAGTGGTTTGAAATCTGCCTTTCCATGCACGGATGGCTGCTTTCCTGCACAACAGTGAATGGTTTACTCAATTTGTGAAGCCACTGTTGAGTTGCTACTTGCCAATTAGTCTCAGAGGCCTCTCAAGCCTCAGCTGATGCAAAAGGCAGATTGTGTTGCTAAATTCCTAAATGTCTTCCAATTCTTCTGCTTGTTGCTCAGAATTGCCTAAAAATGCCCGGACCCGACCTATCGCTGCGCAGCAGCTATAATTATTATAATTTTTTTTAACCTATGTATTTTTTTCCTCCCCCTTCATTTTTTTTTAAAATCCATCTTTTTTTCTCCCCCATGTCCTCTCAGGGGCTCCATAGATCACATATTGACGTTGATATTAATGTTAATACTTATTAAAAAACATCAAAATAAAGAGTTGGTTCAGGTTTTATAGCCACAAAGTTATGACAAATGCTTTGAGCTTTAATTGGTTGATTTTAAGAGGTTACAAAGTAGTAAACATACTGTTTACACACGTAAAATGGGATGAAAACATCCACTCAAGCCACACGTGCGTTTCACATCTCACCTTCATTCTGTCAGACCTCCTTAGAAAATAAAAAGCTCACACCCTGCAGTAAGAGTCTCCACAGCATCATGGAGACCAAGCTCACATATTCTTTTCATCATCATCTTCATCATTGTCAACATCCCACAGTCCCCAGCAGCACAACCGTATTCTTTACTCAGTCTGGAGTACTTGAAATACTCATTAGCCCTGGGTTAGACCCCCAATGTCAGGCTGACTGGTGAGATTTCACATCTAGCACCACAGAGGCTTTGATAGTAACTGGTTGGTAAAAATAGAGTCCATTATTTGCTGCTCTCATGGTGTCTGTAAAATCCTCTCCAAAAGGTGACGACTTTTTGGTGGTGCTTTTCAGTTTTATTATTATGCCAAGAATGTTGAACTTGAAAGTAAAGAGTATTATTTCATCCTCATTCAAATGAAGTAACACAAGCAGACAGACTTCAAGTAGAGTATGGAGTATGCATATCTGACATCCCAGACAGGTCATCTTGTCACACCAAGTGGGGTAAATACATCTGAATGCCCATAAAAACATAAGATACAAAGAAGTTGAAATGATAATAAGGAGATGCTACAGTAGCATAAGTCTAACAAATGTTAGTTAACAGCATTTCAGAATTATATAAAGTGAAAATGAAAAACTGCCTCTGCCTCTTCAATAGAAAATACATTTAGTGTATCATTATTACATTTTATTATCAGCTACACAGAGCATGTAGCAAACATGCCAAAGCATCAATAAAATCACTTATAGTCCATTATTTTTGCTATAGCACTGAAACACTCAAACACCCGCCATACCCACATGAAGCTCCAAAAAGTATCAACAACACTTGATTAACGCTACATTTGTTGAGGCAAACAGGGCTAGCAAGCATAGATCTCAATGTGCATACTGGTACAAGTATTTATTGTATACTGTCCATGAGTCCAACAGTGACAGAGGTTCCAAAGCAATGTATCTAAACTGTTTTAGATATATGGCTTTGGTTCCAGGGAATCAGGCAGGGGCTGTGAACACTGCCCCCTTGCTGTTCAGTTAATTGTTAGTTTTGGAGCAAACAGTTCAAAGGCAAAGCCATATATCATATATTAGATTGGTTCAATATTTCTCCTGTATGGTAATATTGGATTGTTTTGATGTTGAATCCAGCACTATTGATATATGGCTTTGGTTCCAGAGCAGCAGGTCAGCCCTCTTATTTAACACTCCGCCCTGCTGTTCTGGCAGAGTGCTTATAAAATAAAATGCTAAGAATCACAAGTGACCTGCTCCAAGTGTGGAGTTGATGGCAAGAAAGAAAGAAAGAAAGAAAGAAAGAAAGAAAGAAAGAAAATGGAGCTGAGGAAAGGGACCAGCTCAGGGACATGATTTACAGGTCAGTTCATTCCTGGGTAAAGTATCTTTGACTGCAGTTTCCTCTCCCACGATTATTTAGCAATAACCATGATGATAATGAGATTTTTGAAACACTGAAATCATGTTACAAGCAAGGATAGCCTGGGTGATTGGCACAAAAAAAACAGGAATTTCCCTTTAAAAGTGAAGGCATTGGCCAGGTAAGATAAAGATAGTGCTTTTAATGGTTTTCCATGTATTCACCTTCTGTTTTAACCAGCTTTTTCTAAATACGGAGGCTCTTAAGCTTCATTGTTAAGATCACAATACTGTCATAATACCACATATGGTTGAACATAGGGAAGAAAAATGAAAAGGTACTCCCTGGTATGACACTGAGAATGCTTTAACTACATTGAGCATTTACCCTGTATCATGGTGGAGGATTAAGGTGTTCTGAAGGAGTAATAATGTGTGCACACAAGACAACTGAAGACAGGCAAAGAGGAGTGATGTACCAGTAAAGAGTTGAAAGGGTCATTAGCGGGAGTAGATAATCATCTAATCTACAACACTTGGCTCAAATCATGTGACAGTGTGACATGATGAGTCCATCAGATTAAATATCAACCCAAGCTTAAAGTGTACAATACTAGATCTAACTCTGTCCTCCCACTGAGACTCTCTGTCTTAGTCCTGTGCCACTTTTCATCTGTGGGGTTTCCTCCTCCTTCCTCCACTATAACAGGTCAGGGAGGTGGCTGTAGACTGAGTCCAGCAGCGTCTGGCTGGCGTCCTGACTTTTGACTCCAGCGATCTCAAACAGCTGGTCCAGCTTGTCCTCAGCTGCTGGGATCTCCTCAATAACGTGCAGCTCATCCGGGTTCAGGATGTGCAGCATGTCATCAAATATGGGCTGCAGGTCGCACGGGTCCAGACGCACCTGCCGGAGCACAGTATCTTTCTTCTCTGGAGGGGGAACAGAGAGGGTAATCTGTTACTGTAATTATCTGAAAGCTGCTCTAATCATAATGTTCACCTACATTAGGTGCACTACAATCTTTACATAATGTACATTACTACCGTTTAATATCTTTGCAACATTATGTGCAATATTACTTTTCAATATCAGGATTACGATCACTTGTCAATGTAGTACAATATCATTTTCTCAAAAAAAAAAAAAAAAAAATTATATGATTTTTAATTTTTCCAATGTGATGAGTAAAGTTGTGTACGCAAGGGACGATCTTCTGGCTCTGAGAGGAACCACTTACGGAGTTAGACACCCGATCCCGGCTGAGCTGAGGAAGCCGTTCAGAGGCTGCAGAGCAGGAGCTAAGCTAAAGGGTAGGAGGTGGAGATACAAGCCTTTCCTGTTGTCAGTCCTTATGGGGAATGTAAACTCACTATCCAACAATTGTGACGAGCTGCTGGCACTGGTGAGGAGCCAACGACTCCACAGGGAGTGTATTCTCATGTGCTATTGTTTACATTCCACCATTCCTGGGCAGCAATGGCAGTGGCGTTTGACATCATCCATGAAACTGTTGCTAGGATTCAAACCCAGCATCCTCGTGCATTCATTGCAATAACAGGGGACTTTAACAACACTACTCTCTCCTGCCATCTGACTGGGTTTGTTTAGTATGTGGACTGTCCCACCAGGGAGAATAAGACACTAGATTTGTTTTATGGAAATGCCAAGGACGCCTAAGTGCCTCTGCCCTACCACCTCTTGGCAGATCATATCATAATCTGGTCTCTCTCCAGCCTACATAGAAATCCTGTGTATTAAAGTTGCCTGTTACCACCCGCTCAGTCAGGAAGTGGTCCCCAGAGACCAGTGAGTCTCTCAGGGACTGTTCTGAATGTACAGACTGGACTGTACTACTGGAGCCACAGGACAACAACATGGACATGGACAGTAGGGTGGATATTCTAACACAATATCTAAACTTCTGTAGGGACACTGTGATGCCAGTAAAGACTGTACACTGCTTCCCCAATAATAAACCCTGGGATAACAATAATATCAAGCAGCTCCTCAACCAGAAAAAGCTGATGTTCAAGAAAGGGGACAAGGAGAGGCTCAGGGAGGTTCAGCATGAGCTGTATGGAAGACTGAGACAGGCAAAGGTGAACTACAAAAGAACGGTGAAAAGTAAGCTGCAGCAGAACAACATCAGAGAGGTGTGGAAGGGAATGAGGAATGTTACAGGCTATTTAGAAAAGAAGAATAGCCAGGATATGGATGGTGTTGTGGACAAAGCCAAAACCTGTTCTTTAACAGGTTTGATGTTGGGGCAGTGTTCACATTACCCCTGTATCCATCCCCCCTTCCACAGTGTCTCCTGCTCCACTGTTGGAGCGGCTATGGCTCAGACGTAGAGGGGGTCATCCACCAGTTGGAAGATCAGCAGTTCTATCCCCTATCTCATCCAGTCTGCATGTCGAAGTATCCTTGAGCAAGATACTGAACCCAAAATTGCTCCCGATGATACTTCCATTGGTGGGTGAGTGTGTTTAAAAACTGAGTAGCAGGTGGCACCTTGTATGGTAGCCTCGGCAACCAGTGTATGAATGTGTGTGTGTGTGTGTGTAAATGGGTGAATGTGACTTGTGTAAAAAGCACTTTGAGTGGTCGGATGACTAGAAAGGCGCTATACATAATGCAGGTCCAGTTACTGTCACCAGGAAGTAGCCCCTCCCCCACCATTGCAGCTACAGCTATAGCTACAACATCTACCACCCACGGCCAACTACCACTGTCCTTTACAGCAGATGAGGTGAGCGGAGCTCAGGAGACTGCGTACAGGGAAATCTGCGGGCCCAGATGGAGTGTATCCAAGGCTCCAGCTAGCGAAGCCCCTTCAGTGGCTCTCTAACAGGAGTCTTCAAACAGGCAAAGTGGTGCAGTGGAAAACATCTTGTCTCATACCGGTGCTCAAAGTGGGGCACCCGGCCGAGTTAAATGACTACCAACCGGTGGCCTTTACATCACACATTATGAAGACCCTGGAGCACCTGGTCCTCTGTTTCCTGAAGTCAGAGGTCACTGATGCTGTGGACCCCCTCCAGTTTGCCTATCAGGAGCACATGGGAGTGGAAGATCAATCAATCAATCAATCAATCAATCAATCAATCAATCAATCAATTTTGTTCATAAAGCCCAACATCACACCTCAGAGGGCTTTACAGCATATCTGTCCTTTGGACCCTCACAAGGGATAAGGAAAAACTACCCCCCAAAAAAACCCCTTTAATGGGGAGAAAAAAATGGTAGAAATGCAGCTCTTTACATTCTGCATCAGGCCTACACCTACTTAGAGGAGCCAGGATGTGAGGATCCTTTTTTTTAGAAGAAAGAGGTCACCCCATCAACCAGTCTCCATACAGTGGGAGGACATTGAGGTGGTGCACACCTACAAATATCTGGGGGTCCTCTTTGTTGATAAGCTGGACTGGTCCTCCAATACTGATGCCCTCTACAGGAGAGGGCAGAGCCGCCTGTTCTTCCTGCAGACACTGAGGTCCTTTGATATGTGTGTGTGGAGATGTTGACCATGTTCTATCATACAATGGTGGCCAGTGCACTTTTCTACGCTACGTGTGCTGGGGAAGCAGCTTGACAGACAAAAACACCAAGTGTTTGCTGGTTAAAAAAACTGGCTCAGTGCTCTGCAGGAGACTGGACCCACAATGAACTGTGGTGGAGAGGGGCACATTGAACAAACTGAAAGCTATAACGGACAATAGCAGACAGCCTCTCTGCAGCTTCCTGGAGCGACAGTGGAGCAGCTGCAGCAGTAAGCTAATCTCATTGCATTGCAGAACAGAGTGTTTCAGGAGATCTTTCGTCTCCACGATAACAAGACTGTTTAACACCTCCTGAATCCACTCAAACACACACTTTCACACATCACATTAGCCCCACAACTGACTGAACTGCGGAATGGACAATTTTATTTCAATTTAATTTCTATTTGTGCACTTATTTTAAGTTATTTTATTTTATATTATGTCTATTTTAATACCACTGTGTTGCATGGTTGTTTTTTGTCTTTTATGAGCTGCTGGACAGTGGAATTTCCCTTTGGGGATAAATAAAGTTCTTTCTATTCTATAGTATTCTATTCTATGCTAGAATATAACATTGATTATAAAGCACAATCTGCATTTGTTCACCTTTTAAGGTGATTTTTAGTAACTCTAGTACTAATCTTACTTCTATTGTTACTCCATTAGGCACTGGTTTTTGCTTTTTGCTCTTTAAACACTTAATATCTTGTATATTTTGAATACATTTTTTCCCCAATATTTCTATTCTCTGCTGTTTTTAAACAGGGCCTACTGTGTGACCCTGACTTGGAGAACCCACTGGTTGTACCCGTTTTGTGAACAGTGATTGCTGATTACTGTGATTTGTATTACTGTAATTTGAAGCATTCTTTGGCACAAGAATTTCCTTTGGGAGAAATGAAGTTCTATTGAATTGAACTGAAGTAAAGTAAAGTAAAGTAAAGTAAAGTGAATCAATATTTTTGCATTAACAATGGAACAAAGAACCATGTGTAATGGAATCAAAATTCCAGTCAACTTTAACATTTTAATCTATAGGGATTTTCACAATAAACCAAGCTTTTTTTCAACGTCCATAAATTATGACTGTATTGCTCTTTTTTATTCTCAGACACTGAAATATAGAGGAAATAGTGAGGAAATGCAGAAAATTTAATTTAATAGAAACAGTACCCAGAGTGACCACATGAGGGCAGTCAGCATCCACATATCTGTGTTTTAGAGTGTGCTGTTTCTACTGATAGCCAAATAAAGCCTCATGAAGCATTTTCTCGATTTTATGAGCCCACTAGATGGTACTTTTGTTCAACAAACTGTTGAAAGCACACTGAATTGCCATTCTTTGAGCCTCTCTTTTAAAATCAAATCCACCATCTAGTGGGCTCAGAAAATGAAGAAAATACTTCATAAGGCTTAATTTGGCCATTACTAGCTGTTGCCTCATCATTTTCAGTAAGTGTGAGGCACATCAAGTGTGAATAATGTGAAACTGCTGTTGCTCAGTATCAACACAGGCCACTGCAACAAACCAGAGGACATGAGAGTAAGCCTCTGTCGTGGCCTCTAGGAAAGGCTTTGTTAGGGGAGTGAGTCTAGAGTGGAGATTAAGGAAGCTTTTACTAAAGTTACTTTGGTGTTTATAAAACAGTTAAAGGTCCAGTGTGTAGGATTTAGGAGGATATATTGGCAGGAAAGAAATAATACTCATAACTATGTTTGTTTTCATTAGTTTATAATCACCTGGAACTAAGAATTGTTGTGTTTCCATTACCTTTGAATGAACTGTTTGTATCTACATATGGAGCAGGTCCTTTTACACAGTCCACCATGTTATTATATTGTAGCCAAAAACAGACAAACTACAATCTGGCTCAAGAAAGGGCTTTGAATGAATTTGACCAACTTTGCATGTCATGAGCCTGCCAAAGTAGCTGCCACAGTTAAGAAATGGAAATGCTAAAGCTACATTACAGCTGTAGTAATTTAATAAATAAACAATTTTTTGTCATATTTGCTGAAATTGTCACTGAATTCACACAGCATTAAATAATATTCTTCTGCCCTGTCTACTGCCTTGTAGTGCTTTTAATGGGATTACCACATATGAATGCAAAAAAACCAACAAGGACTGAGGATTCTTTTATACAGCTGTTAATCATGTCAATCACTACCAAGCAGCAATCTGCGAGGCTGAAAAATTAAGTGAATGTGGAGGTGTGAAAAACTGCAGGTCCTCCTCCAGAACAGAGTCGGTCCCCATAGACTACTTTTTGTAAAACTCACCTCTTTGCATTTTATCAGGGCTTGAAGTTATACATACTTAAAGTGGGCTGCTTTGAGTGACAGGCTGCCTGTGAGGCGTCGCTACGGTCTACTGTATATGAGCC